ACTGCTCTGCTGTGGGGACGACAGCGCTGACTCCGCACCTCCTGCTCACACACACACACACACACACACACACACACGTGCATATGCTTTAGTCTCTCAGGACAGGCTCACCAGGAAGATGAAATCCAGGCTCCTGGACCCCTTCCCCAGGGCCTCCCTAGCAATGACGTAATCCACCTGGAGCTGCTGGGCCTGGTCGCAGGGCAGCACCCCTCCCAGCGAGCGGATCTTCAGGAAACTCTGGCTCTTGGAGTAGAAGGGCTCCAGGTGAAGATCGGCATCCCGGTAACTGGGATAGTCTCTCCCATTCAAAGAGCTGTGATCCACCTGCTTGAAGTGCCCCTGTGGGACAGAGAGAGCGATGGGGCTCGCCGGGGTGCAGAGCACCCAGCACAGGACAGGAATGCAGCCGGGGCAAGCCAGGCTCTGATGTTGCCAGCTGAGCTCACCCCCATGGCCCCTCGCCCTGCGTCCGTAAGAGTGACATGGAAAACCCCAGCGGTTCAAATGGGGCAGCCCGACAGCAGCAATGGGGCAGCCCCTGGGCTGAGCTGCCCGAAGGGGGTGACCTTCCTAACTAAACCCCACCCCAAATATTAATGAGAAGACAAGTGGCGGCACTAAGATGCCGTTTGCGTCACCCCATTGATGGCTCTGCTGGTGGGTTCTGAGCCTCCCCCCCCCGCCCCACCGTCTGTCCTGGCTATTCAGCCTGCAGGTGCTTCGGGCAGGGCCGTTTGCTACACTGAGTGTGTGCAGCACCCAGCACCATGGGGCCCCGATCCTGGCTGCTCCTTAGGCACCACTGTAATAAACATCAACAATCACAGACACAGTAACAGAGGCAGAGTGCAGGGGCCCCACTGGGGCTTGGAGGCCCGTCACTTACCCTCAGAGTGACCCACCCGGTCCAGCCGGAGGTGTCCAGCTCGAAGGAGGCTCTGCCAGACTCGTCGGTCAGGAAGGTCTGGTTCTTATTCTTATCCCCATAGCTAACAAAGAGCTGCAGCTTCTCATTCTTCAGCACAGAGCCATCTTCCGTCTCCAGGAGCATCTGAGCCGGGAGAGAAAGGGGGAGACGCACAACTCAGGGGAGCAGACTCCTGGGAGAGTGTTGCCCACTAGGTATTAAAGAGCTGGCTGGGGGCAGAAAGGGACAATGCAATCCAGCCCTGAGATGCACTGGGAAAGCCCAGGGCTGGGATGGGGTATTGGGGTGAGGACTGAGGGGCATTAGCAGATCCGTGAAGAAGTTGGGGCAAGACTGGAATAGCTGGGGGTGCTGGGGTGAGCACTGAGGGGTAACAGGTTGTCTGATCCCTTGACTGAGCCCTCCCTTGGGATGTGGGACTCTGCAGTCCAGCCGCCCCCAGGCCCTGAAACCAGGGCCTCAGATCTCCCAGCTCCGTTGTTTTGCTTACACACATTCCCTCTGAGTCCCATCTGGGCTGTGGCCACACTGGGCTTTAAGATTAACCCCTTAGGGATAATGTGGTAGGCAAGCAAGGAACCCGGGGTTAACTAAGGAATTTCTAAACCACAGTCACTTAGACGGCTCAAGAGTTACAGATCTTTGCCAGAGAACAAATGTCCTGATGAGCACCCTTCTCTAGTCTGATCTCACCCTGCCTGTGACTTCTGGGGTTTGTCAACAGTTCCAACTGGGCAGAATCCCTCCCACCTTGTCTGTCTCCAGCCAGTCCTTCTGGCATGTGGTGATGGTCGGCACGGCTGCACAGAGCAGCGCCCCTTCTTAAGTAGAGCCTCTCTGGACCCTTCTGCTATGTGCTCAGCTGGAAAACTCCTTCCCCCTCCCCCAGACGTGTTCACCCCACCTGCGGACCCTTGTGTAGAAATAACATTGTTCTGCGGGGGTGGGCCAGTGTAGTAGTAGGATTTTATGTTTGTATTTTATATAATTTTGAATGAAGGATAAAGAATAATAATGTAGCGTGTATTAAATATATTGGTGTATGATTTGCCAGCCACCCTTTTTGAATAGCAGAAAGGAATGGCCTAATGGGCCATTGGTAGAGATACATCAGCCAGAATCTGTGTCTGTGCTGATTTCAAGGCAGTGACAGACTTTTGCGGGTCACCAATTTGTTGTAGGTTTAGCATTTTAAAATAAGTAAAAGAATGCAGTGATTGTTTTTCTTTTGCATTTCAATTTAATGTTCCTGTTCAAAATGTTCTGTGAAATTAATTCTGTTTTGCGAGTGAATGAGGAATGTGTGTGTTAAGAGATAAGCGTGAAGGCCATCGCTGAGCCAGATGTACAGGGAGGAACCGGGGACAGACGCAAGGGCACCAGGAGGCTGCAACACACCCCTGTTGAAATGGGCAGATTGACGACTCTAAAGATGAGACAGGCACATATCACTGGGGACAAGATAGCTGTGATAAAGAATGAGAAGGACAATTTAAGAAAACAAACACTCACCAAACAACAATTGATTACAGCATGAGGGTGCAAAACTCATTGGTCCCAATGCATAAAAATCACCATATAAATAGGGTGCCTTGCCATGAAACTTTGGGTTCGTCCTGCCAAGACTTCCCCGGAGCATCATGTCGTGAAAAACAGAAGCCGGCTCCTCCCTACCTGTGATCAACCGAGCTGGCCACTAGGTTGATCCGGACTCTGGACTGGTAACTATAACATCGACTGGCGGGACAGTGTGTGTGTGTGGTGTG